ATTTCTCCCACAAATGTTATTTTGTTACATGCCTGACTGTCTCCTGAGTTTTTCTGTTTGAAGTCACCTCTGCGACTTACCCTGCGTCACCTCTGCGACTTACCCTGCATCGGGGCGTCTCCGGGGTGTCTCCAGGGCGTCTCGGCAGTGCGTCTGGATTCACCGGGTCTTGCAGTAGCTACATAGTTCATTAAGTAGCGAGGGGCGTTTTGTTCTCTCCTGTACTGTGAGTATTGCTAGGGGCCACTCTGTGCAGGTCTTTCGCCAGGGTGTCTGGAGGATGAGTCCCTACAGCTGGAAGTGCTGGGTCAGTCTGTGCGCCCTTTTAAAACCTAACACAGCTCTAGGTGTTTATCCCAAAGGCTGCCCCAGTACACGCACACCGTCCCTGTGGGGGAGTGCCCGCTGCCCGCTGTCCTTGTGAAGCACTTCCCGGCACAGCCCGCCTGTCTGCTCGGCTCAGCATCATCCACGGCCTTTGTGGCGTGTCCGGTCCCCGTGGCAAGGCCGTGGCCCTGTGGTCCTGTGGCCCCTGCAGCCGGCGCCTGGTGCCGCAGGCAGTCCCAGCACTCATTCATCTGCATTTTGCTACCTGCTTGTCAGTGGCCAGGCATCAGCTGCCCTGACAGGTCGGCAGGGGTTGGGTTGTTACTGGCATTTTGCAGGTGAAGAAACTGAGGCTCAGAGAGGTGGACAGTCACTAGGAACCTCCGGCTCCTGGCTGAGAGCAGTGCTCGGTGGCTGTGCCCAGCCTGTGCCACGGACCCCTCAGCTGTGCATGGACCAGGGACTTGGCAAGCCATCCAGAGCAGCTGCCTCACCAGCCGCTTGTCCAAAGCTCTGCTGTAGGGGGTTGGCACGTATTGACCAATTTCCCAGCAAGAGGAGAGGGAATGAATGGGCAGCTTGCTGAGGGCCCTGGGCTAGGCAGCGGAATGGGGCATGGGGAGCAGGGAGGGTAAGGGGCTGCAGTGAGGTTGCCTCGGCCAGTTGCAGAGCAGATGAGCTCGGGCTGGTCAGTTCTGGATGCTGGCCATGGGTGGACAGCAGGGGTGGTGGGAATAGACTCCACCAGCCCTGGCTGAGTACTCCGGAGGTCCTGCCTGTCATTCCAGTGGGTTACAAGAAGTTGGGGTTCAAGTGACAAGGGACTGGGAGGGCAGACGAGAGAAAAAATGGGGAAAGAAAGAAGTGACGGAGGAAGGAGAGAGACGGGGCGGCCCTCCCCCCCGGGCCCCCACCGCAGGGAGGCAGCACCAAGCGCCCTGGTCCCCACCCGCCTCCAGGCAGCGCCCAGCACCCTGGTCTCTGTGTCCACCCGCTGCCTGGCGATTGAATGAATCACCCCAACAAGCCTCCGTTTCTCCTCCAGTGACACCCACACGAGCCCCCCGGCGAGGGCCCAGCAGGTTCTGAAAGCACTTGGCACTCGGGACACAGAGTCTACCTTGCCCCTTGCCCTCTCCGGGGTATTCGCCCGCCGCCAGCCAGCGAGGGCTGCGCAGCTGTGACGCCACCATTCTCCTTCTGTCATAAAGACGGAATGAAACAAACATTCCATGTTTTACAAAACAGAGCAGCGGCCAGCGGCCCCTCCCCGGGCGCTTGGCACAGACTGAGGACCCAGACAGGGGGCTCCAGATCACACAGACACCCGGGGACCCGCAGCCCAGGTCAACAGCAGGCGGTTCTGTCCTGTACAATCGTGTCCCATATCGTGGGCAGATCTGAGGGCAAGAGCTGCCCTCTGCGGAGCGGAAATGCAAATTCACTCAGTGGCCTGTGGTTTTATTTACCAAATCCGGCCAGCCTAGTTAGGGAGGGGTTCTCCCCCTGGGTCTGGGGCCTGCTGACACTCCAGGGTCTCCCTCCTCCCTCCCCGCTG